GCATTTCTAAGATTCATTCTCCGCGTTTAGGAGAGAAATCACCGAAAAATAGGTGATTGTGCCCCACTCTCACTGATAGAAGCTCTGAGGAGGCAATGTCTCATGCGGGTGGTTGCGGAGCGAAAGACAAACGAACTTTCTGCTTCTGAAAGAGAAACAGCTTTGTAATATCATGTTAATTATATGATAACACTGATTATATGCATGCTCTATAACTTGTCTGCAAGTCTTTTGAAGATTTGGCAGAACTGATGTGTAAGGCGTTATAAGATTCGTTATAGTCTTTGTTTCACAGATATTTATTCAGAGTTTCTTTGCAAGATTGTATAATGCGCAGTCAAGAGAGGGGGGATGACGCCAGATGATTAGAATATCTTGCGTCTTTTAACCTGATTACGCGCTTGCACCATTGCAGCTGCATTTCTCTGATTTAGAGCCTCACCTCGACTTATTTTCCATAGGCAACTCAGTTGTTACATTTGAAATGAATCACAGGTTCTTATCAAGTGAAATGAAACTCGATAATGAAACCTATTTTTATCTACATCAGCATAGTGTTCAGTATTAGAAATAAAGTGTTTCAGAACGATGTGGCGTGATGGTGAACGGTTTTACTAGGGGTAGATTTGTTCTCTCAAAAAATGAACAATGCAGTAAGGCGCTTCTTTGAACTCTCAATAACAAAAAAAATAAGGAAACACTTTTGGCAGTTCGAATGAAAACTTTCCGAAAACGAAGTAGCAAACCTTGTTACTTTCAGTTAAGTGAAACTGGCCGTCGATGAACGTTTCTTGCGGCATATGTTTTTATATGTTCAATTGTTTTTACTGCCAGTTTTTCACATCATGGTTCCAAATTTCAAATTTTTTCAATCAGAAGTATAGAGTTTCACAGTTGATCCTAAAAATAAACAATATAGCATTGCAGTTAAAGGCACGTTTTCTAGATTAAGCCTTCAGTGGAGTTAGGCACTGACAGTGAGTTAAAATTCATAAAAGTTTTAATATGTATGTAGATCTTTTCTTTGATTATTTATATAGTATAAATACTTCAACTTGATACAAGTACTTAAATCGCCTAGAAACTTCATTTTGATAGACTTTTTACTTTAAAGAACTACTGAAACTTGTTTAAATTTCGATTCATTATGCGATGTGGCACCTTTTCTACGCTGACATCATCTTAACAGACGTTAACCACACTTGGGTCAGAAGGAGCGAAAATTCAACCTGTACTTGATGGATTATGTTCAGAAGTATGCATTAAAGAATATTATCCAGCAATACATGGAGCGTCAAAACAGGAAGCACTGCAAAATCTTCTGAAGTGTAGCCTGTCTCCATCCCCTTAAACGGGAAATGAACATTTGCCATTGGTGGTACAGAAAGCCGTCGTACATTTTTTGCTGCTAAAATTTCACATATAGTTTAGCATTGGTGTTCATGTTTTGCAGCCGCGAGCATTCATTTTTTTCCTTTCAGAAAAAGACAGATTGTCCATAACATCAAATAATAAAAATTTAAGTTCTTTTAATTTACTCTTAATGACACACTTTTGGAACTGACCGCTTTATACGGTCTGTTAAAGTCAAGAGATTCGATTGTCTGTAGTTCAATGTGCATTTGACTGTGCCACTATGAATGATCGTTACTTTCAGCATGTAATACCCTTATATGATCTCATACACGGCCGAACTTTTGCATCCTGGCATTCGGTTGAATCTGTTGTTTTGCACCAGAAGATTGAAGCCGTTTTTCAACACCGATGCAAAGTTGCATGAAAGGTTATACAGAATGACAACAAAAATCAGTGTTAAACCATTGTAGCATAATTGTGACAGTCAGCATAACTCAGTACATGAGAACGGCGTACTACAACCTAGATGGTGCATGTAAATGTAGTAGTACAAGATTCGTTTATTCAGGCTTGTCGTCACTTGCTCCGTGAGCGCAAGTGGGCACTCATCCAGTGTTCTCTATTCCTCGGTTGCTGTCCCCATTGCTGACCAATTAATTTGATTATCTGCTCAGTCCAACATATTAAATGGCTGACTCGACGTTGGTAGTCAGCGGATATCAGTTTTTAATTCTCGAAGTCCATCGATTTTCTCTCAGGTGGACCACAATACTGACCATTCTTCTTAACTTTGTTAATCCCGTCCGTTGTCGAATTTGTGCACTCGAGACATGATCCAGGAAGGACATTTGGCACATTTTTCTGCTTATTAGTTTTTTCGTGACCATTAATTTGTTCTACTCAAATTTAGTAGCAGAACACCACTAAGCGCGATAGGTCATGGCTAGTAAAGAGTTGAGTCTAACAGTTCTTCATCTGCATCAGCAGCTAACTGTCGATTAATGATGCATTATTACTATTAATGCATGTTCATGCGTCCTTCCTTCTTAAGTTGATTTCCCCTTCTAATTGCATAAATAGTACAAGATATTTCTAGTAAATAAGATTAAATGTTTTAGTTGCTACAGCACTGAGGCAAAACCTTTATTAAATTTTTAGTCTGTATAGACGCTGAACAAAGGAGTTCTACATTTTTGCCATGGTATTTCAACATGCTGTTGCAACGATGAATTGATATTTCTTTCACAGTTCATATTGGAAAGTCCGAGAATATTTGAATTCCTGAGCTTTTTCATCGGTTTATGCTGATGATCCCGCCAACGCTTTGCCACTGTTAAGTTGGATCTTTTGCGTGAATGTCAATCGACTATTTTTGCAACGTTATGCCTTTCATTGCAATACACAGTCCGTGAAAGTTTCGCAGCCAGAAGCTATTTTGGCCTCGGTTTCTGCCTCCATGGGCAGCATTTTGACTCTGAATGAGTTCGTTTTCAGCACTTCGTCTTCGGCGGCTTCTAGAAGAGCTTCCATTTCGCCACTGAATTCTCTTCTTGATAGCCACTTGAAATTGTGGTGTTCATCTGTGTCTGGTAACCTAGTTGGCAGAAATATTGTTCATGAAGCTCCTTATTCCTGCAACTATTCAGTCGGCCATTTTCTGCATTTCAAACTGTTTGCTATTCTAGCTCGCAAAGACTGTTAACCTTTGCAGTTGTTAGCACCCTGTGGTTAACCGACATTGCTAAATACTGCTTTACAGATGACGTGTCTGTTTACAGCGTATTTTTCATACTGCGAAGCCCTCTTCTTCCTTCCTTGAGTCGCATGCACAGTTAATCTCTATCGGTTCTCGAATCCACCATCTTATACAGGTTCATTATCTTGTTTCACTGTTCATTTTTGGTATTTCCGTTTGCATCAACTCTGAGATGTCTTCTAAGAATGTAGCCACCGGCCAGCTGACTGCTTAACGACAAAAATCTATTTTTTCACGCACAACGTTTTCTTCGAACTTTATCGGCATATCGTTTTCACTGTCATGTTCCTGTTTTTTATAGTTTTTCCCTTTATAAAACCTTCTCTTTCTTCTTTTCGGTCGTTTGGCCGATTCCCTTTTTTTTCACCTTAGTTGTCGCATGAGTAACTGGGTTTGCATCTTTTGTCATTTTTCTTTTCTTTAGCTGCCGTGTTGTAGCGTAAGAAACTTATTATCACGCTACCAACTGCACTATTTACGTTCAGAGGTCGGTGATCTGACAATGCAGTGTAAAAAATAATTGAAATTATGTAAAGTACTAGGATGTTCGTCCAAGTATCTTTAAAATCTGTAACCTCTGACATGCGGTTTTTAAGTTATTTTTGTGTTTACGTTCGGAGTACCCAGTTTTAGACATGTTTATTTATTTTTTATATACTGGCTGGACGAAATATAATTTTCTACAGTATTCATTTCCCTAGTCACCAGACCTTTTCCTGTTTTTTTTGTGTGTCGATTCTTGTTCGTTATTCCTTAGCCAGTATTTTTGTCAGTGAATTCCTGCTATCTCATTTAGAATTTTTTTTCATCATCATCATCATCATCAGCATCATCATCATCTTCCATCGCCGCTTCTCCTTTCGGGTCGCGGAGGCAGACGCGTCAGACAATGCTTCC